CTTATATCTTCCCTCACTCAGGCCTTGCTACCAGCCTGCTTATTTGTTCCCTTCAACTGAGTGTTGAGAGCCACTATAGCTGGCCAGAACAGCAGTCATGAGAGAAAGAAGAAAACGCCCCTCTGGGGCAGCATTCAGAAAAAGAAAGAAAGCAAAGGAAGCTTTTTCTATCTAAGCAGGAAGGAGGTCTCCTGAGATACATAGACATAAATGTTCACGGTGAGCCTTCCGGCCCCAGTGAGGATGTGACTGGTGAGGAGATGCCTGATCTTCCAGTTAGTCAAAGGGCAGGTGACCTGCCAGCTACTGCAGCATCCATATCTCCATTTCAAATGGATCTAACCATGCACATTCCTGAAGAAAATGTAGATCAGAGAAGAATGTGGTGGAGGCGCAAGAAACAGTTGCTGCTGAGTTTAGTTCCTTAAGTCTAGATGATCCAGGACCGTGTCCCACTTGAGCAGTAGCCTGAGGGACTTCCTTGTACTGCATGGGCCACAGCAAGTGAAAAACTTCATGTTCCCCAAAGACAATGAAAAGAGAAGTTTCCATCCAACACATTACTGGTATGAAATCCCCAATGGTGACAAAGTGGAGAGGCCATGGTTTATGTACTCAAAATCCCAGAATGCTTAATACTGTTTTTGTAGCAAACTCTTCCAGTCTAATGTTCCAGTCACATTGGGTTCTACAGGAACAAAGGACTGGAAAAATCTGGCTAGAAATGTGGCATGCCACGAGAAGGCAGCAAATCACCAGAGAGCATTCCATAGGTGGAAAGAGCTTGAGATGAGACTAAGGTTAAAGGCCACCATAGATGATCGGCATCAAGAGAAGATTGCATCAGAGAGTCTCTTTACTGGCAAGCTGTTTTGAAAAGGCTCATTCCCATTGTGAGAATGCTTGCTACCCAGAACCTAGTATTGCATGGCACTTCAGATCAGCTGTATGTGCCAAACAATGGAAACTTCCTTAAAATTGTGGAGCTGATGGCTGAGTTTGATGCTGTACTCCAGGAGCATCTAAGAAGAGTCACCACCCAAGAAATGTACACACACCACTACCTTGGAAAAACAATTCAAAATGAGATCATACAGTTACTGGCAACAACAGAAGATTGTGGCAGATCTGAAGTCAGCAAGATATTACTCTGTTATTCTGGACTGCACACCTGACATCAGCCGTACGGAACAAATAACTTTAATGGTGCATTTTGTTACAACAACAGAACCTAGTGAAAAATGTCCCTGCAATGATAACTGTCAGAGAGCATTTTCTAGAATTTATTGACATTGATGATACTACAGGAGTTGGTATGACAAATGTGCATCTTAAAAAGCTGGAAGATATGGGAATTGCGATAGCTGACATGAGAGGTCAGGGCTACGATAATGGTGCCAACATGAGAAGAAAGAACAGATGAGTGCAGACACAGATCCGAGAGTTAAACTCTCAAGTTTTTTTGTCCCATGCAGTTCTCATTCATTGAATTTGGTGGTCAGTGATGCAGCATCAGCTTCTAGTGAGGCTGCTAAATTTTTTAATGTAATTCAAAGCATCTATGTATTTTTCTCTGCATCAACTCATCGATGGCAAATTTTGAAGCAGCTTCTGGGAACATCCTCTCTGACACTGAAACCACTGAGTGCCACAGGATGGGAAAGTCGAGTGGAGGTGATAAAGCCTATCAAACACCAAATTGGGAAGATAGATGATGCCATAGTTGCCATTATGGAGGATAATGCTATGACAGGTTTCAGAGTAGCAGCCATGTTAGTCTGTATCCGCAAAAAGAAAAGGAGGACTTGTGGCACCTTAGAGACTAACAAATTTATTTCTGCATAAGCTTTCGTGAACTACAGCTCACTTCATTGGATGCATGCAGTAGAAAATACAGTGGGGAGATTTTATATACACAGAGAGCATGAAACAATGGGTGTTACCATACACACTGTAATGAGAGTGATCAGGTAAGGTGAGCTATTACCAGCAGGAGAGAAAAAAAAACCTTTTGTAGTGATAATCAAGGTGGGCCATTTCCAGCAGTTGACAAGAATGTGTGAGGAACAGTGCGGGGAGGGGGAATAAACATGGGGAAATAGTTTTACTTTGTGTAATGACACATCCACTCCCAGTCTTTATTAAGCTGGATCTGTTCATGGGAGAACAGTGGCAGAGAGAAATGTAATAACCAGAAACATACATAACTTCAAATTTCTGTGTGGCTTAGTGTTGTGGCATGACGTACTGTTTGAAATAAATGGTGTAAACAAGAAACTCCAAGGTGTTGACCTTGATATATCTGGAGCAATGGAACAACTGGACAAAGCGAAGGCATACCTACAGTCTTATCGGTCAGATGAGGGATTTCAAAACATTCTGAAGAGTGCACAGAAGTTGGCAGAGGAACTTCACACTGAAGCTATTTTCCCACCCATTCAAGAATACAAAAGTCACCAAAGAAGATGACATTTTGATTACGAGGCACGGAATAATCCCAGAAGAGACCCCAAACAACAATTCAAAGTTCAGTTCTTTACCAGGTGCTAGATTGTGCAATACAGTCAGTTGAAGAATGTTTCATGCAGTTCAAGGAACACAGCAGTGTATTTGGGATGTTGTATGATATTCCAAAACTCCTCACCATACCTGAAGAAGTCCTACACCAGCAATGACAGGCACTAGAGACAGTGCTGATACATGATGACATGCGCAATATTGATGTGAGTGATTTAGGTCATGAACTGAAAGCCCTTTCAAGATAGATTTCAGCAGGATCAATTCCAAAGGCTGTTCTGGAATATATGTGCATAAATAAGATGACCACCCTCTTTTCAAATGCTTTTGTTGCTCTGCACATACTTCTAACGCTTCCTGTAACTGTTGCCAGTGGAGGACGCAGCTTCTCCAAGCTGAAGTTCATAAAAACACATCTACGCTCCACAATGACACAGGAGAGGCTGGTCGGCCTTGCAACCATCTCAATAGAGCATGAGCTGGCCCAGACTCTGGACCTTCAGCAGGAAGCAGTTCAAATCTTTGCAGCCAAGAAGGCACGGAAAGCACCGCTTTGATTATTCAAACAGATAAAAATGCCAGTGTTTACTATGCAGACAAGAAAAGTTACATTTGCTGTTCAGGCGTTTGAAAGTTAAGTGTTAAAATTTTTGAACAAGGCATTTTAAGTTGTTTGTTCTCCTTTATTGGGGTAGGTAGCAGAGCAGTACCATGAGAGGAATAGAACAGGAAGAAGGCAGAACTGAGACCTTTCAAAGTTTTGGCCGAAGCGAGGGGGTATGGGGGCATCATTTGAGCTCCCCGCCTCAGGTGCCAAAATGTTGTGTGCCGGCCCTGGTTGCAGACCTCATGAGTGAAGCTGGGTCCAGTTTCAAGCAAAGTCTGTTCTGAGTTAGGGTTTTGACTTGAAACCTGGTGAAACCTTTTGCTGAGTTCTGCTTTGCATCAGGGTCGGGGGTGGGGGGAGAGGGTGGTTGAATCCAAAAACCTCAAACTCAGAGGAATGAACCTATGTGAAGTGAAAACCTAAAGGAGATTCTTCACACAAACCCCTGAGAAATGAAACTGCTGAGTTATGCATGGTTCTGTGAATGGTACCTCATATGCTCTGTTTTAAACCACTTTTAAAAACACTAGGGGTGTGATCCTGGCCCCACTGAAGTTAGTAGCAGCAGCAAAGAGAACTCTCTTATGCCCCTTCCTCCACAATACTTTGAGTGTAACTGACCTTGCTGCTCCAGAACTGAGTGTTGACTCTCTAGACTCTCAGTGTATATCTACACTGCAGTGTAAGCCCAGGGTTAGTGGGACTCAAGTCAGCTGACCTGTGTTAGGGAACCCTGGGCTTGAGTGTCTACATTGTATTTTAACCCTGTCAGGGTTCCCTCCCCACTCTGAACTCTAGGGTACAGATGTGGGGACCTGCATGAAAAACCCCCTAAGCTTATTTTTACCAGCTTAGGTTAAAAACTTTCCCAAAGCACAAATTTCGCCTTGTCTTTGAACAGTATGCTACCACCACCAAGTGATTTAGACAAAGAACAGAGAAAGGACCACTTGGAGTTCCTATTTCCCCAAAATATCCCCCCAAGCCCTTACGTCCCCTTTCCTGGGGAGGCTTGAGAATAAACAACATGAGCACAAACCAGCCTTGGATTTTTAAGACACAAAAAACCCAATCAGATTCTTAAAAAACAGGACTTTATTAGAAGAACAACAACAACAACAAAAATAAGAGAACAACTCTGTAAGATCAGAATGGAAAATAATCTTACAGGCAGTCAGATTCAAAACATAGAGAATCCCTCTAGGCAAAACCTTAAGTTACAAAAAGACACAAAAACAGGAATACACATTTATCATAGAATATCATAGAATATCAGGGTTGGAAGGGACCTCAGGAGGTCATCTAGCCCAACATTTCCTCCAGCACAGCGAATTTCACAAGCCAAAACAAAGAAAACCTAACGCATTTTCTAGCTAGATTACTTACTAACTTTACAGGAGTTGGAGGGTTTGCATCTTTGATCTGTTCCCGGCAAAGGTATCACACAGACAGACAAAAGCCTTCCCCCCCACTCCAGATTTGAAAGTATCTTGTCCCCTCATTGGTCATTTTGGGTCAGGTGCCAGCCAGGTTACCTGAGCTTCTTAACCCTTTACAGGTAAAAGGACTTTGCCTCTGGCCAGGAGGGATTTTATAGCACTGTATACAGAAAGGTGGTTACCTTTCCCTTTATATTTATGACAAACCCTATGTTAAGACCTTTCTAACTCATGCTCGAATCTTGGGCTCTGGTGTCCACACTGCCAGTGGGATTATCCTTCCCTGTTAAAAAGAGGTTTGAAAGAAGACTTAGACTCACTGGGTATGTCTACATAGCAGCTAGACACCTGCAGCTAGCTCATGCCAGCTGATTCAGTCTCATGGGGCTTGGGCTGAGAGGTTGTTTCATTGCCGTGTAGATTTCTGGGCTGGGGCTGGAGCCCGGGCTCTCAGAGGGTCCCAGACCTTGGGCTTCAGCCGGAGCCCAGAAGTCTACATGACAATGAAACAACCTCGCAGCCTGAGCCCTGTGGGCCTGAGTCAGGCGGCACGGGCCAGCCACTGGATTTTCTACATACCCTGTGTAGTCTTTGTAGACATACCACCACCAGGGGTTAACCCCTAGGAGAATCCTGGGTGATTAAGTAACAAAGTCAATGGAAATTTTGCCTCACACAGTAACATTTTAAATTACATGAAAAAAAAATACCCTGTACCAGAGTTGTGCTGTTTTTGCTTATCTTTTATTCAACCAGAGTTCAAGAGGCAATAAGTACAAGTATTGCAAAACTTTGTATCAGCCCCCTCACAGATCCTGATACCTTGGAACATGGGAGGGTCTTTGTTACCATTCCAAGATACTGGCCAGCATCTCCCAACTTTATGTTCTAGCATAAAAAATACTGATTTACTACTGCTGTCTACCACTTGTGTAAGTGTTTTACTGCTGTAAAAAAACAGTCACCTTCCTCTTAAATAAATGTCAAGAACGATCTCTTTTTGTTGCTCTATCTGAAAGGGCTGTTTTGAGTGACTAATAATCTTTACAATGTACAAGGATTGCCCATGATCCAGAAGTGTGTTCTTTGGAAGTGGGCCACAGTGGCAAGCAGCTCTCGCTTGTATGTCAGTGATTTTATTCAAGTCGCAGTTGATTGAAATAAATATTTCTGTAAAAAACAGAAGGCAAGCTGCTTAAGCCATCCTGCCCCCACCGATGAATGGAAGTTTAGGGCCAGATCTTCTGGTGCGGCACAACCATTTCCACTATGTTACTAGGGCAAACTCGCCTTAAGGTTAGTATAACCAGCTCAGCATAAGGGGGGATTCTCTAAGGGCACAGAGCTGGCAAAGGGCACTTACAGCATTCTACCTCCCTGCTGCCAACCAGAGCAGGAGAAAGGAGAAGTGTCTAGAGGAAAGTGGGCACAACTGGGATGCAGCTATGCCACACTGTATTTGGACCCGTGGGTCTTTTTTCAGTGATGTAAATTAGAGCAACCTAAGAGCTGTTCTAACTCAGTGCAGGGAGACTGGCTCAGCACAGAGGTGCAATATGAGTGTGGAAACAAAGGTGAACTTTAAGCCACTGTTCTGTACACACACACACACAAATACCTTCATGCTTTGCAGATCTATCAGAACCCAGGTTCTGGCCTATAGGGCTTCACATGTTAGGAGGCAAGAAAAGGGAAGGTTATATGATAAACTTAAGTTAAGTTACCCCTGGAAAAACTGCTTGGAGAGGCTCAGATGTTTGCAGGGTATGTTCTTGTTGTTTAATATCATTTCCAGCAACAATTGCAGCTCCAAACAGTCTCATTGTTTAAGTTTGGATGTGTGTGTTGGGGGTGTGTGTGTGAGGAAAGTAGTTGTAGTGCTGATCATTGACAAGCTATTGTACGAAGGGAGAGAACCCACTTGTGCAGATCTTGGCAATTTACAACTTGGACTTTCATTCCCCACAGCGTTTCCCCCAACCCAGCACAGTGAGCCTGTTTACAGCTCTAGATTTTAGACAGCAACATCTTCCAGAATAAAGAAACTCTACTACAGCCAGTTACACAACACCATGTATTCCAGTGTTGTATTGTATTATTACAGTCCCATCCTCAAGTCTAGTCGGTAACTGTATTTGCACTGAGGTGAAGGGTTTCCAAATGCTGCTACTGTGTAAATCCGGGCCACATGTATTCCATAGCACAATGGGACCAAAGAGTGCAGGAAGCATGCCTAAATTCTGTGACATTGAACATTGCATTGTATCTCCATGAAACGTCCTTCATTCTCCTCCATCATGTCTGGCTCTCTGTAGATGCAGATGGACAGCAGTTTACACTCGGTTCACATTCTCAAAATTAGCTTAGCAACCCAGAGTTAGACATTTAATTTTTTTCAAATGAAGGTGTGAGATCCTGGAGCACAGTTCTGTGGCAAGGGATGAATTCTGTGACAGCATCATGGAATAGTTGGATCCAGCATAGACTCTAGTTTGGCCACATACGCTACATTCAAAGCCTTTTTGCCATGGCTGGAGTATTGTTCTAGATATCCTTGAGTGATGTTTAAGTTCTGGCCTATCTGCAGCAAGATTCAGTGTTATCTATCACAGCAGCACCTAAACAAGGGGTCTGCAGAATTGCTGAAAGCTGTAGGTACTCAGCATCTTTGAATAATAAATCACTTAGGTTCATAAGTATGGATCTAGGTGTCTAATGTTAGGGACTGAGAAATAAAAAATATCCCCTAAATTCTTGATCACCAGCCTAGCTCAGAAGCTTTTAATGAACATTATTGCTCTTTGTACTGTGATTTTATAGACAGTTGCTCTTCACTCTTACGTTCTGTGATCTATTTCAGCCTCTTTGATGTCATTGCATTCAGTATTACATGTTTCCTAGCCTATTATTGAAATCAGTGTATTCTGTGCTTTGGAAGATGTGCAGGGTTTTTTTTAGCAATGTCTTTGAGATATCTGTATAACTATGGTTCTTGGAAAGCATTTCTCTGAAGTTCCCTTTGATGTGGGTGTGACATTATCTGATTAAAATATGACCATATAGATCATTGTTGCAACCACTGTTATATATTTATAGCAAATCTTGTACAAAGGTTGTCAAGTGAGGTGTCTATGAAAAGGTTACGATTTGCTGGTTATGATTATGCTATCTGTATGCATGTATCTTTTTTGTAATTTAAGCTATAAGATTGGCTCTATATCTGGATTTCAAATGTTGGCACCTGGGGTACTGCCCACAAGGTAGCTAGACAGCACATCTTGGAGGGACTATTCAAATTAAGTGGCTCATCAAGAAACACTTGGTTGACAGTGGACCATTGGAGATGCCCATCTACACTGAGTGGATTGTCATGTAAACGGGTTGTCTTGAGTGTAGGAAATGGCTTTCTGCAATGAATAAGTGAAATTGGGCATGAATATGTGACTTGCCCATGTGACTCCAAACACCATCTTGTTGCTGTAATTTTCCACAGTAAGAACAATGGGATGTCCTTCACATGGCAAAAGCTATAAAAGGTCCTGGAATGACCCATCCAAGCTGTGGATGTACTCCAGAGACTTGACTTAAGCCAGCAGTTTATTCCATCACTGCTACAAGCCTGAACCAAGAACTTTGCAATTACTGTATGTAATTGATTTTTTTAACCAATTCTGTCTTTTTATGAATAAACCTTTAGATTTTAGATACTAAAGGATTGGCATCAGTGTGATTTTGGGGTTAGATCTAAGTTATATATTGACCAGGGTGTGTGACTGATCCTTTTGGGATCAGACAAACCTATTATTTGATGAGACTGGTTGTAAAGAACCACTAATCTCTGAATCCAGTGTTTTTGGTGGTGGTATAAGCACTGGAATGACTGAGGAAACTGCCTTTATGTTTTCTTGTTAGCTGGTGTGGTGAAACAGAAGTTTACTTTTGTTGCTGGTTTGGTATGTCTTATGGGAGATTAGCCACCAGTCTTGGGGTGTATCTGTCCTATTTCTTAGAAGCTCGTCCTGAATTTGGCATCCTCAGTTGTGACCCACTGAGGCATGGGTACAGTGGGATTCTTCCATTTCATCATGAGCTCTGAGTGCTATTCCTGTTTAGCACAATTCAGCAGAGAAGTGATTCAATCTATATTCTAGGGTAGAGTAAATGATGGAAAGAACTTTCTGTGAATATTTGTCCAAATTGAAAGATTGAAATTCACTGTGCTCACTTTCCACAAACACTGGGGTGTTTGAGCTTTACTAGCACAAATGCAAATATTACAATCAGATACAGATTTCAAATGACAGTAGAGTTGTATATTTCACAACAGACTGTGTAGGTTGGTTATGTATGCCATCCAATCAGGGAACAGAAACACTACCACATGACTTACATAACTAGTTCCCAGAGTGAATTGCAAGTTATGGTCCAGATTATGCTACTCTTACTCATGTTGAGGAGCACCTTACCCTGCAACTAGTTTCACTGAAGAGAAGGTGGTCGAATCAGTCTCCAGGACTCTTCACAGCCAACTATTTCCAAATGGTGTGTAGATCAAGAATTTTTTGCTGAAAAAAGTTTGCAAATAATTTCAAGTAAATTAAAGAATTGTTCAATCTGTTCACAGCCAATTTCAGACAGAAAAAAGGCAAAATTCATCAAATAAATTATCTGTTACTTTATCATTCATTCAGCTCTGCTTCAGTCACCATTTACCAACCTTTTTTTAGTTGAATGGTGAAGGAGGTCATGAACCCCAGAGCTAAGCGGAACGTTAATGGCTGTATGTTGTCCCTGACTGCTGAGTGGTAAAGTGTATACCAGTGATAATGGAGTATAGTTTATATTCATTCCTCAAGACATATTTTCAGTGTGTAAATCCACAGAGCAGAACAAATACTAAGAAGTGAGTGGTTAAGGTGAACATTATCAGCATATAAAGCAGTTGCAGTTACTTTTTGTCATGCTGTCAAACCAGATGCCAGCTTTTGCCAATACATAGCTAGAATTAGTCTGGCTCATCTCTGTGTTAGTACTGTTAAAATAAAGTTATAAAAATGTGTTTAGTGATTAGACTTTATGGAATGTTTGTAAATTGCTGCATGCATTAATCTCACTTATAACATCTTGTATCCCATCCTGTAAGGTAATATTTGAGCATTTGGCATTGTCAGACTCAGTAACTGTGCAAATCACCAGGCAGGAAAGTGTGACATGGTGGCTTCCAACAGAAGATATTGTTAGGTCCTGCCCAACATAGAATAACCATCAGCACCAGGTGAACTATTGTGGAACATCAGAGGACAAAAGACTTTGCTTCCCCTCTTCCCCCCACAAACCATGAAGAGGAGACGTACAAGAGAATTCCTCCCATCATCTTAGCTGGCAGCTCACAGAAGAAGGAAAGGGAATAAGAATTCCTGACAAAGAGAAACTGTATCTCTATGCTGCTTGGACTTTTGAGGGTGAGGTTTTCTAGGCATAAGCAAGAGATCCACAGTGTTTAGTCTGGGTTAGCCTATGTGACATAAAGAACTTGCTTATTATAGAAGCTTCTATTATTTTTTTAAATTTAAGATTGGAACTCATTTGTGGGTATATATGATTACCTACTTTAACCTTGTAAATAATTCCTATTTCCTTTTCCTAGTTAATAAATCTTTAGACAGTTTATTATAGAATTGGCCACAAATGTTGTCTTTTGGTGTGAGATCTAAGGTTCAATTGATCTGGGATAAGTGACTGGTCCTTTGGTACTGGGAGTAACCTGAATATTGCTGTGATCCTTGGTGTAAGTGACCATCTTTCATAAAGGCAAACTTACCTGGGTGGCAAGATGGTACCCAAAGGGGACTGTTTGTGACTCTATGGTTAAGCTGTTACACTGCCTGAGGATTTTACACTTAATAAATGGTTGGTGAAAACTAATATAGAATTCACAGTCAATTTGGGATTTGTGCCCTGCTCCTGAACAGTCTGCCCTGAGGTTGGTCTTCATGCTCTTGAATCACTGCAGCACACCTTGACACCTCTGTTAACAGAAGACTCATTCTATTCAGGAGTTTTACACCATACAGAATAAAAACTTTGACCGCTGGTATTTCCTGTTGTGCCTGAATTTTGGCAGGGATATACAAGTGTCTAAGATTGCCTTTCAGTTATTCTTTTAGAAGGTACTCTCGGGAACAACTGATGGGAAATATTTCTCTCACTCATCTCTGTTGGGATGGACTCTATTTTTAAGGCCTGTCTGTACTGGGGAAATTGTCTAACTGGTTTTGAAACTGGTTCAGCTTAAACTGAGTTAAAAGCTGGCTAGAGCTGTAGTGTAGGCCTGGTTTTAGGATTTACCGTGAAACAAACCATGCAGTGGAATGGGGCTCCCAATGACAGGGGGCCCATCAAAATGCAGGACAAATATTTGACAACCTGCCCCCGAGTCCCAGCTGGCAGTGCAGCAGGGCTGAGGCAGGCAGGCTGCCTGCATGCCATGGCCAGTGACCCCACGCCACTCCTGGAAGCAGCTGGCTGCTGGCACATCTCTGCACGCTCCTGGGGCGGGGGCGGGGGGGGCACAGGAGGTGGCTCCACACGCTGCCACCACCCCGGGCAGTGCACGGAGACCTGCTGCCCTCCTCCCCACAAGGGGCGTGCAGAGACGTGCCAGCAGCAGCGAGTCAGGCTAAGGCAGCTCCCTGTCCGCTCTGCCTCCCTCCCTCCGCACCGCTTCACTCCCGGAAGCAGCCAGCATGTCCCTGCGGCCCCTGCGGGGGTGGGGGGTGTCTCCACGTGCTGCCCCCTCCCTGAGGGCTGACCCCGCGGCTCCCATTGGCCGGGAACTGTGGCCAGCGGGAGTTGTGAGGGCAGCGCCCGAGGGCAGTGGCGTGCAGAGACCTCCTGTCCTCCCAAGCCTGGGAGCTGCTGCTAGAGGGGGGTGTGTGCTGGTTGCTTTAGGAGTCGCGTGACCCGAGGTAAGCGCTGCCCCCCTGCCCACCTCCTGCACCCCAACCCCCTGCCCCAGCCCCAGAGCCCACACCCAAACTTCCTTGGAGAGCCCACGCCCCTCACCCCCCACACACCCCAACCCCCTGCCCCAGCCCCAGAGCCCACACCCAAACTTCCTTGCAGAGCCCGCGCCCCTCACCCCCCCACACACCCCAATCCCCTGCCCCAGCCCAGAGCCCACATCCAGCACCCAAACTTCCTCCCAGAACCTGACCCCCGCATCCCCTCCTGTACCCCAACCCCCTGCCCCAATCAAGGTACCTCACTTTATTTTCATTTACTTCCCATTACTTATAATATAGGAGGAAGATGAAGAAAAAAGAATGAAAAACGGGGGCGGGGAGATAAGAGAATGTTCTTTTTCTTGGCTGGGTCTCCGGGGGGAATGGGGGGGAGGCTCGAAAATGAAGCTGCGCAAATGGCCCCAGTAATTCCAAATCCACCAATGGTCAGATTTACTAAGGATACTACAGGGAAGTAAAATGCACTATATCATGTCTCTGAGGATATTTTCAGGTCAAAATCACTGGCCCATTCATATTTGAGATTACTTTCTTTGGCAGCAGGTGGCATTCTTGTTTAAAGTTAACCTATTATTTAGTTACACAGTGAAAAAGAATATAGACAATGGGCCAAAAACACTGAATCAGGTGTCTTCCTAAGTCAGGTCATCTCCCTATGCCCCTAGGATGCATGATTCATCCCACTTGTGTTGTTTCCTGCTCCCATGTGAGTTGTAATGTCTAGGGAATGATATAGTCTAAGTGATGAACTTTGGCTCAGTTGCTGAGCTGAGTCACTGCGGTGTGCATTCTGTACAACAACACAGCTTCCGCCATTCCAAATCCCGTGAGGCGATCACATCAGAGTGGGGCTTGGAGGTGACTCAGCTCCGTTACAAGTAAGCATCCACTCAGTCAAAAAGGTGGTGCATGGTGGCAGCACAGAACGGTCCAAACAACAACACCACAATTGGGCCCTGTGTTCATCATCAAGAATAGGAAGGGAGCCACCAAATGAGGGGACAATAGCCAACCAATAGCTGAAAGTACAAGTACTGATATGCAGATGCAGAGGAATGTGGGGTGGGGGCGAGCGAGCGAAGATGCCAGACCTGTGCAGGAGGGAGGCTGGGCTGGAGGGGAGGAGGGCGGGGGGAGAATTCCAGTGTTGAGGGGGGGCAGTCAGGATTCCAGTGACAACCTCGAGTGGGGGGTCAGCAGGGTTCGAGTGACCAGTGACAGTCTGAGGGGGGTGCCTTAAGTGAGCAGCTGGGGCCAGCCCTATGGGGGGTGGCCCTCAGGCAAGCAGCTGGGGCCAACCCGGTGGCAGGGCAGGCTTGGGCCAGCCCTGCATGGTGTCCTGTTTTCCCTTTGGGAAATATGGTCACCCTACATATGAGTAGTTAGGGACTATTGACTAGAGAACCAAAGATTCCTTCTCCTCAAACTCAAGGTTAGCAGTTTTCATTATATTTAGCCATATTTTATTTCTGCTATTTGTCAGTTGTCTGAATAAACACTGCAGTAAGTGTAAAGATAAGCATTGTTTTATTGATGTCTGTTCTTGCCTTTCTGATAAAAGTTTTGGTGCAGCTAAACTTCAGCTTCTTTACAGGGTTTTTTTGGTCTGATAAATATGAATTAATACTAGCTCTTGTTCTGAGCAAATTTTCAGACTATGGGAAAACTAATATACAAGCTTGCTTTATTTAGTGAATTTAACTTGCTGTTTTACTGAGTTATTAATAGTTAAAAGGTTACGTAGTGAAGGTTCCCTCCCACAATATTTTAATTTGATTAAAGTTTTATTGAAGTAAACTTGCACATGAAAAGCAATTTACCTCTGCTCTTATTGGAGATAACTGCATTTATTTGTGATAGCATAATGTATTTTCTATCTGCATTTCATCTGCACTGCATTATCATATGAACCAAGATAGATTTAATCAAATTTAATTTGTGTTGTAAATTTTAAGATGTTGCACCAATTAGCCAGAATAAATCAAAGCAGTGGGGGGAGGGGTGGGAGATTACAGTTGATTAGCAACTGGCTCTTAGTTGGTCACTCATCCCTTTAAAAGAAAAGGAGTACTTGTGGCACCTTAGAGACTAACCAATTTATTTGAGCATGAGCTTTCGTGAGCTGTAGCTCACGAAAGCTCATGCTCAAATAAATTGGTTAGTCTCTAAGGTGCCACAAGTACTCCTTTTCTTTTTGCGAATACAGACTAACACGGCTGTTACTCTGAAACTCATCCCTTTGTATATCTCATCTCACCCAGCTCCATTGCTCCTTTGTGAAATAGTGTTATTTTCCTTTGGTCTCTTCTCCTCACATATGGTACATTTCATAGATGATTTTTTGGGTCTCATGGAAGCAAGAGCCACAGATAATGTTACCAGCCTGTTCTGGCTCCATTCTTACCAGTGTCACGGTACCTTGGCACCTCAGTCCATCCTTTTTAAACAAGACCGAGTCTTTTATCTAATGAATATTTTCTATATTTCCAGTATTGGTCCCATAATTCTTTCCTTTCTTTCTTCTCCCCTTCTAATGGGAT